TTGTACATGAGCGGTCGATATACCACAAAAACTTCTCCTTCTTCGCCCGGTGTTAGAAGACAAAAATCCCATATCTCTTACACGAGAAATGCTGTTTATTTATTCCAGAGGTGGTGTTGCTAAAGTCAAATAGTATAAGCTACAATGTTCACCAAGCTAATCGGAACATCCTTTTCCCAGCCGGCTATCGCTTTTTTAACCGCCCAATAACAATAACAAGCTCTATTTCGACAGATGAAGTTAATTTTGAGGCAAGTCATGGCGCTTCGAAGTACAGGAGCGCTCAAAAGTCTTCGGTGAAACGCTTTGACGTTTTTTCGTTCATAACTTTTTTCTTAGTAGACCAAATCGCGTGAAATTTGAATATGTTTAACTAGAGTATATTTCACCATAACAAACACTATTTGACTGCAAAGTTGCAATATCCACAGGTGCGAAGGTGAGATAGCAGATTTTGCTAAAAGTAAAGTTGTTGACGTCTGCATTTATTCGCACCTTATATGCGTTTTTCTCATCTATTGTGTTCGGCATTACCACTCGTACACTTTAGACATGACAAAAAAGAAAGAGGTTCTAGAAGGACCATCATCTGTATTTTCAAGCGATTTTGAGTTCAAGCCCTTTGGAATATCTGGAACGCGATCAAGTTGCAGGTTAATAGTGGTAAATATTCACAATACACCCACGCTCCAAACATAGAAATTTCGCATGATTAGATCTAGTAGGAAAGGAGTTACGACTGAAAAGTACGGCTGAAGAACCATTTGACCGAAGACTTTTGAGCGCTACTGTAAATAATTTGGAAAAGAAGGTATGAGCGGCTGTTTTGCTGTTTTAGGAGCAGTTTAACTATAAGCGTATCATCAAAGAAAAGTACCCAATAATTTAGAATTGAGCTAAACAGCTTCGGAAGCCACTATAGAGAAGTGTAGAGAAGACAGGTAAGAGTTGAAAGCGAATGCCTCTAGTCTTTCTGCAAGGTAATAACCGAACTCATATTGCAAGTCGATCGACCTATATTGGAATGATTGAGCTGAACAGAGATACCATATTTCTGACAATGCTCCAACGGACTAGGCTTTGTTTCTGAGGAAAGTATGCAGTCATTGCCTATCGAATGGCTGAATATCACTGATAGAATGCAAGAGATAGTGTGCTATGCCATAGTAATTTGCTTAGGGGGCACCATTACGGGCCCACTAGGCTACCGTTCCTTCCCTGTGCTCTAGCGCGAAGTGTCAGAGAAGTGGGGTCCCCACGACTACATTTGCATCAAAAGAATGAACAAAAGTGGCGATGTACGCGCGCAAATCGGCAACACTCCTTCTGGATCAGAGATTGCCGCATAATGAATTCCTTTCGAATAATTAAAAAAAAACTTTAAAAGCATTGACGAGAAAACTTCAAATGTTAAACAGCAATGTAAGAAGCGATTTCGACCGACCGCTATCTAGAATCACAGAAGTTACGAAGGCGGCGCGGAAAGGAGAGAATAGACTCATGATACTCACGAACTGCTCAATATCCTTATATGACCTTGACGCCATCTGCGAGACTATAGATTTTGTGAGATATTGCAGGTAAGGAGCCGCAATTTCAGGAATGGCTCTAAAATTCGAACACGAATTAAATCTTATTCAGAAGGAGTAATTCTATTGAATGTTATCTGGAAAGCAAGAAAAAGAATACTATCATACATGTGAGTATGCGATAAAAGTGATCGTAAGACCGTCACGAGTCCAAGAGAAGTGTCGTACATCTCCTCAGCACACTCTCGCTCCTCCAACTCTTTCTAAACAAACTGCAAGTATACAAAACCCTAATTTAGTTATCAATCAAACAAATAGAAAAACTGATACCAAAAACAACTTTGGCTCTTCCCTACAACGTTGTTCTCGTCAACTAGGGTTACAACTTAGACGACGACAGATCACGGAGCTTGATCTTGTTACAAAAGCCATGCTTACTCGAAGAACTCAAAACAAAAGCACACCTGCAGACCTAACAATGTCCCATTCTCCGCAAACGTGCACAACTGATGAGCATTGAGCGCCGTCCAAATCCTGAATATTTCACCATGAAGTACAAATCATGTTCTCCCAGATTTGCCATAAGAATGACTTTACCTAATGAGTTACGCCCACTGAGATGTCACGAGGGCAACCCTTTTCGTACCCTAGGTGTCTTACGGCTAGAATCTTACGATTTATAATTTACCAGTCGGATCGCCCGGCTAACGCCAGGCTCTCCTCCTTCTTAAGGGTTCGCCCGGCTACGCCGGGCGTTCCTCCTTCCTGAGAGAAATTTGCTATGCGTAAATAATAATTCGGATTCTCCTTTTTCTTAGAAAGCTCTACAGCCTAAAAATCAGATCCGAATTGGGAGCCATTTTTCCTGTAAGCCATCTTCGCTGTGTCCGAATAGAACATCGTATAATAGCACAAAGGCTATTATTCAGAGAAAGATAGTATTCAGAGACTTCACCGCGGCTGAGGCTACTATGTTAGCTACCGATTATTTCGCTGTTTCGCTGAGCGAGAGTATAGACTATCAAATGCCTTAAAAGATGTACCTCCTTTTCTTTACGGATACATCATTAATTGTGAATCCAACATTATTAGCGGTCGGATAAATTTTGCTAAAAATGATATCAAAGCAAAGAGAAACCGTGATCTTTCACTCAATCGCAAACTCTGTTGGGTAGCGATCGTCATCTGATAGCAAGAAGTGAACCAAATACATCTCCTTATAATCACTCCACTTACCCTTCTTGTCGAATGTAACATATCGAAAAGTCAAAGCTAGATTGTAAATAGCAAAGGCGCTAGGAGGTGATTGGTCAGTGGATCTTCTTCTCTAAGGCCTCTTCTATTGTCAATGTTTCCATACTGCCTCCTCCTACTGATTTTGCTCTCCAGTCCACGGGATCAGGAGTTATGGATTTCCACTCATTTATCTCGCGGAAACCCGTCCCTAGCGGGCGGAGTCCGGCCCTACTACTATTCATAAATGCTCCCATACTGCCGCCTGCCTCCTATCAAGTTCGAACGCCCTAGAACCAAACTGAAAATTTTGGCGTAACCTCGCCTTCTATGAGCGGGGTCCGTTCCTCCCACTTACGATAAATGTTCCAANTAAGGCCCTGCTCACTCTTTTTATCACTTTTTCTAGCCTCCACGCCCTCTTTGAATGGAGTTATGAATCTGAGGGGAAAGTACCGCCCGGTGCAAGAACGGTCCTCCCACAATCGGTGGCTATCCTTCACTTGATTTGTTAACCTGTCCCTCTACTTTGATTATTTTTTCTCGGTGTCTGGGCTGTTGGAAACTAATTTAAGAAATTGTGCCCATGACATCACCCAGTCCTGTGCACGTCTCCCCATTGAAGGAGGAGCTTTGCTAAGCTCAAATGTGTTCTTTTGATCTGGCCCTATGCCCAACCCTCCCAAACTCCCGAACATGACCCGACTTATGCAGGTGCTTCCTAAGGTATTATCGAATTTCTGCACATTGAACGAACGACAAACAATCAGCTGTCGTATAGATTTCGCCTAGGTTCCAATTCTGGAAAACCTCTTTCTAGCTGCTGAAGTATTGTGAAGTGGATAGTTCTTTGGAGTGCGCATCTGTGAGCAATATCCTATTTAGAATTAGCGATTTCGTTATTGAGATTTCTATGGATTTCCGGTTATGTTTCTACAGAAAAATACGCGTCTAGTCTGGAGAAAAGATTAAATGCAGGGTACTTTCTGTAAAAATTATTCGTGAGCAGAAAGTTTACTTGCCCACGAAGCCCAACCTCTCTCCTCCCTCAGTTGGCTGCGAACCGATGGTTGAATCGTCCATAGTATAGGGATTTAGCATGACAGTAAATAGTCAGGAGAACGTTTTTTACGACCGCTCCCAGCAATGTTTGTAACTTAGTGAAGGAACATGGCTCCTCTTCGCTTCGATATCACTTTTGGCAAGACTTATCCGACCGCTAGTGACCTTAGATTCTCATCTAATGAAATATATGTATCTGCTTCATTGATAACGCCTTTAATCATTTGCCTACGTGACTTTTGGAAGGACGCACAAACGGGCATACAAACGGACACACAAAGTTAGCGGTTTATATATATCATGGATAGGTAATCATTACACAACAGACAGTTAAGAGACAGAGACCTCTAAGCATTTATGGCCGAAGTCAAAAAAAACGCTATAGAATCCTCAATTCTAATTCAATCAATTTTTGAAGATTACCTGTGTGCAGAAGCATCTCCCTTCGCCAATGCCGCCACCAATTTTAAAAGAGCTCCTTTCAGAGGTAAGGGAACAGGGGCCGAAACCACTCCTAATGCAGCATCTAGAACCGCCCATTGACGCTCTTCCAAAAACACTTCAGCAGCATCTTCATCCTAGAAAAAGCCGTGGAAAAAGAATTATGATAGGAATGGTCATGTAGAGCATACCAAGGTAATCACGATTCTTGAAAGATTGATCCACGTTATCATCCCAATTAGTTCGCGAGGTGGAATGACGGCTTTAGGCGGTTGTTGCGATAAGGAATGCCTATAGACGAATATCAAATTAAAAGGCGTTTAAGTTTAGGTTGAGACCTATAACTTACCCAAACATTGATGTTCCACCATGCCTTTCGCGAAAGAGTCTTTCATATGACCGCAAAGCCGACATTACATGGTTCCATCCAATACAACTATCTAGAATTTTTTCGTTCATTGCTTTTGCAACGCATGAGAAGGGAGGCAAAAAGGAAGAAAAGGCATACATTATAAATTAACTTGTTAAATGAAGGCACAGCAAAGTGCAACAGATGAAAACGTAAAGAAACCAACCATCGTGTGCTGGTACCCTAGCGAATACGTCGAAAATGAACGAGGCAACCTGACGGCTGCGGCATATTGCACATAGTAGATCAAGGTAAGCAACAGCATGAACAACATGATGCGAAAGGCGAGCACGCTCGATAAAACGACATAGCTCCATCTGTACCATATGGAATATTACTGGGTGATTCGAGTAGTAACAGAGAACTTACAGATCCCGAGCTACTGAAGGCTGTACTCAGTTCTATTAAACACGACTTCACATTTTCACTAGCTTTTGGATCGTCAACAATCCGATAAAGGTCCGAAAAACATCGAAGAAGGTTTTCGTAGTGCAAAGCAGGAGTAGCCTAAAGTAGCATACAAATATTTGAGCCGTAACCATATAAATTCGTTGAGCACTGGAATTACAATGGGACAACTTCGAGGGGTCTCTATGCACCAAAGGAGACCAAAAGAAAAAGCCAACCTGTTGTCCTTTCTCTGACATCTCGTCCACCCAGTTAAGTTCATCTTCAGAATTCCGTTCGATTTCCATAAGCTAAAAGGTGATTATCGGTAGACTGGCAAGAAATTTACGATTCGAAAACAAATTTAAACGACTATCAGCTCTAAGAAAGGATGATGCACCTTTTCAGTCACTAAATAGAATTCCGCAACAAAGAAAAAAGAGATCACGACATCCACTTTGGCTCGCGAAAAGAACGTTACTCCCAAGGGTGGTTCCGAACGCAGTTCAGAACGTGTCAGCAAAAAAACAACTAGTCACCCATGACCAATGGGACGGGATCTGCTATAAATATTGACTACAATGAGCCCGAAGATAAAGAATCTAAGATGTTTATGTTGATATGATGTTCATGTTGTTTAACAGACTAACAGGCTTTCTCTAAGTAATAATCGTTTCACCGCTACAGTTCACGTCTCGCTATACCTCTATAGTTATCAATTTCTTCAATTCAATCGATTTTTCCCGCAGAGGCGTTTCCTGTTTTACAGATTTGTATAGCTACTCGCAAACGACTTTCCTTCACAATTCCAAGCAACGGCTTTTCCGAATACTCTCAGCAGGTTTCCTCTTGCAATTCATGCCTGAAGGTGGCATGTGCAGCCCATACCTTCTCAACACATTACGTTTCTGACATGTGTCAACCATACTGTTCTTATTTGAAAGAAGCATACTTACACTTTAACCGCAACAATTTTTGATGTCATGTGAGACTAATTCCATTTCATTGATGGATGCGCACACGGAGGTTTAGGAGCAATCAAATCAAAGTAATGCCGCGAAACACTATGTTCAAAAGGTGGATAAAACCACAAATAACTACAGTGATATGATCCTTGTAACAGTGCTGATAGTCGCTGGCTAAAATGTCGATAACAGAGATTGCACAGGAATGTTTGCAAGATTTACACCAACTCTCCCCTTTTCTATTTCCTCAGCACTTTGGAGAAGTCTTTGAAACTCCTAAGTACTGAAGAAGCGAAAAAACTACGCAGCATACTGGACGTTGAAGCCATCAGGGTACTGCTATACCGCAGCTATGATCAAACTGAATTGAACATACAATCTTTAAAGCCATAACAAATCCTTTCACCGAACAAGCAAACATTTTGGAAAGAAAGCTGACTATATCGTGCACCCAATAAATAAGTAACTAAGGAGAAATCACCTTAGCTGGGAAAAGAGCCACTAGTTGCTTCAGTAAACCGTCCACCACACGAACATGTGTACAGCAGTTTTTGAAATAATCTGATCTGAAGAATATACTTATGAGTGGAAATTCAGAGGCGGGAGACGGAAAAACAAAGAGTTATATTTAAAAATTTTCATCGAACATGGATTAATTTCGAGTTCATGATTTATTCTTTTACTATTCCCATTACTACTGCTACTTCCTTTACTGTATTAAAACGCAATTCCGATCATGCAGATAGAAATGAGAAAAGTACGACAACAGAAAACCGAACCCGATGATACCGTGACGAATAAACAACATTGCCATATTACGTACTGCGCGATCGACTACTTTGTCAACGTCTATTTCCACATTCGTAATATCTAAAATAAAACGGATAATAGTGAGTTACAAGTAGGACATATATTGAGGCATATGATGTTCGCAGCCCTATCATACCTACTAACACATGAATTCAAAAAAAAAAAGGCAACGTATGAGAGCGTGAGTAATTTTCTTAGTGCTTTCATGAGTGAAGTGCAACTAACTCAGCGCTAACCTATATATGCAATATGTATGCTATTTCAAGGTACTCTTCTATAGAAATTTTATGAACACTTTCAAGTCAATGAAGAAAATTCAAATAAACGCAGCATCGGTATAAAGTTTTGACTTTTCTCAAAGCAGCAACTCTCACGTCAGCAGAGAAAAAAAACCTTACATTTAAAGATTGACTTAGAAAATCGGGAAGAACAGAGAAAAGGCATTCAAGGAACAGGTTACTTGGAAAGTAACTGGGAATTTCAAAAGCTGGTTTTTGTAATACTTGTTCGAAAGTTTATCAGAAGTCCGAAAGCTTCTCTTTGATAGGAAAATTTAGATATAACTTTCCATCTCTTTTGAAAAAAGTTACTTTCCCATTTGTATTCCTAGGTTCACTTGAGATAGGGAGTTCTAGAAGTAACATTTCGGCACTTGATTTTTTACTTTCACTGTGTCAAAATAGTTGCTGACGTTTATATAAAACATGAAGTGGCACAGACTTTCACAGAGCACGAGCACTTGTAAAAAATGGTTCTTAATTTTTCGTCCTAACTCATCCCTTTAGGTGGACCGACCAGTAAGCATTGATGATGATCATTTGCTGCTATTGACCGAATCTGACCGTCATGAAACTCATATGCAACTTGTACTTGATAAGACCAACAATAAAACTCACTCAAATGATCAGCCGGACTAACTGCAAACGATCGCAGAGCGATTGCACAAGCTAGTTGTGCAGTTCCACATACGGACTGATCACTCCACAAAGTCTCGTTGCGGATTTCTTTGACCAGATTCGAAAGCACAGCTGCTGCTGTGTTCGCTGAAAGGAAGGATTAAGAATGTGTTCGATAACAACAAAAAAGATCATTGAACTACTTCATAGATCATCTTGAAAGCCGCATTACCACGGAAGGAAAATATCTAGCATCAACGGGCATAGACGTTTTCCGCTCTCTCCTTGACTTTCACAGAGGGAGCTTTGGAAGTAGAGCAGCTCCCGAAACAGGTGTCGAAGTCATATTCGGTCCCGATTTATGAAGAAATCTCAAGAAAACGACTGGTAATGCTCAATACTCACTTTGAGATAGAACTGTTTGAGACGTCAGTTTCACCATACACATCCAAGCAGATAGGTGATGAGCCAAGAATTTCTCCGCTAGAGGAACACCCTAAATTCGTCGTTATATATGTCATAAGATAAAACCTTTACAAAACAGCATCGCCCGCTGCAATGTTTCTCAACACAGTAATGCAGGATGCCACAATAAATAAAAAGAGAAGTAAAAACAAAACAATGCTGATCGAAAAATGCTTATTAAAGCCTAACTACTGCATTCTCGATTACTTAGAAGTATCAGAGAAAATGGTAGCCAACTCATAAGTCTATGCTCGCATCGTTACCTTAAGAACGGGGAACACATCCATTAGGAACTCGTTGGCATGTTCAGCTCCCCACTCACACAATGAATACAAAGCCTCAGCAACATTCTCTCGGATCTCTTCGATAACATTTCTTAGCTATAATCCAGATTTTGAGGCAGAGGACAGCTGGAAATGTTGAGATTTCTGGAATCAAACCTACTAGAGTCTGGTGCTTAGGACCACCGAGGCCGTTCACGTGAGGCTGTGATAACAAATGGAACTCTGTTGCAACACTGAAGCTAGCTTGGAGCTCTAGAAATGAAAGGAAAATATAATTGAATTAACAACCTCGAAAGTGATCTTGATCCTAGAATCAAAGTGAAACTCACGAAGAAGATGCTGAAACATCGTGCGTTGAACGAAATTCTGCTCGATGAACCCCCTCAGGCTTTCATGCATAGTCTCCTTGTCCCAATCCAACATAGTTCTCAAAATGACAGCAAGCAGCCTGTGCACATCGTAATAGCAGACAACAGCGATCAAACCGCGATTGAGACAGTCAAAGTGAATCCTCTGACTTTCACCTGAAATGAATGAATAAGCTTATTGGAGGTAGAAGAACGAACCTCAACAAAAATTTTCAATTGAAATAGCTTTCCTATCATTAAGCGGATGGTAATGAATCAGGCGCTAGTTAACGCTGCTACATTTTCATCTTGTCAAATACATAATTACAGATTGACTCAATTTTAGCCGCACAAATCCTGGCTGTATCCAATATCGAAGTTCACCCGAAATGAGAACGCTTCAAAATGTAAAATTTTAACGAGGACTCGCAGCTAGTAGACTTATGAGCCTTCATACGAAACTATCTCCAGCGAAACGGTGGAGTATTTCAAAATAAAAAAAAATTTCATACCGGACAGAACAAGTTCGAGAGCGTCCATTTCATTCAAATTGAAAATGTCGCTAATAATCATCGTTTCATCACATAGCGCCTGATCCAGGGTGACTTTGACGCCGTCGATCGGAATTTCTGCATTTGCTTTGAGTTTGACTCGTTCGATTGATGATTTACCCTGAAACCAAAATTCTTACACTTTCACCGGCAACGGCTTTTCATAATTCATCGTTTCATTGAGAATCAAGTTGACCTTGAGAACAAAGGCTGATTTCCCATTTCAGGTTCTTCACTTCTATTCGTAAAATTTACAGTGAATTTCGTATATATTGCAGCCAACTTGTAGTTTTGCATCCTGTTTCGTGGACTTTGCAGTCGATTTTGTATTTAAGAACACTATTTGGTAACTTGCAACGCTTTCTTGGTGATGGGAATGTTGACTTCAAAAAGTTCAAGAAGCAGGGGGTCATTTGCTTTTCGGAAGAAGCTGATGGGATCTTCGAAAATATGACTGAAACAACAAACACAGATCGAGTTAAATGAAAATGAAGAGGTAAATTTACAATATAATGTTAGGTTTGCGGAATTGAATGCAAAATTTACGAGCCTGAATGCGGAACTTAAGAATCGGATTCACAGTTACGAGAGTGACTGCAAAATCTACGACATGGTACAAGAAAACAAAGAAACTGGTCGCAATACAAACGAATTTGACTGAATTGAGATGAAAATCCCGTAGGAACGGTGCTCAAAGTACCTGGTTTTTTGAAATGTTCTGAATCCTCCATTTGAATTTTTCAATCTCTTTAATTAGTTCGGCACATTCAGCAGGGTTTTCGCGATCCTCGAAACTCTGTACTGCTTCACAAGCCCGCCGAACTTCGATCCACATTATCTAAACATGATGCCGCGATTCATTCCCAGCCGCACTGATGAGTATACGAAAACATTTCAAAATTTTAGGAAGAGGACAGTAATTGTAAAAGCTTAGAAGTTCAGTAAACGCAACTCTAGAATAGGCAATCTGTTATTGTCAACAATTGAATTGAAGTATGAAATCGAAATAAACCAAACAACGCAATTATCTGAAGCAAAAAGGAAGAGAAATACTTCTGCTCGAGCTAAACCAGTTCTCGGCGAGCTCGTACGAGTTTGAAGTTCGCGCGCTAATTGCGAACATTTTCCATTGCGAATTGCAGACTTCCCTCCCAGCCGCTCATTCCCAACGTTGAGCGAAGGAGTAGCCGACTTTCAATAGTCCATAATGGTGCTCAGAAACGTTTTTTAGCCGAGAAATGCAGTTTCTTTACATAAGCTTAGGCAGATAAGGAGCACCGGGGAAGATGAGTCAATTGAGATTTGGTTCTTAACTCATCCTACCTATTTGCACGAGGTAATCATCTCCACACACCCCGGTGCTCCTCCCCTTCTAGGGCTTGGGTGAAAAATAAACTTGGTGAAATCGGGACTCCTTGGTGACCCCTTTGCCTATGCATAATCTTAGGCTCAGGTAGTCTTCTAGCTCCTTCCCCCAACTACATTATATAATGTGGATTTTATTGCCCGTGAATTTGTCATAGCTGACCAGCTAACGCACCGTGTCCCAGGATTAGCTCAGGTACCTTTTTTTGCGGCGCATATGGGACGGGTGTTTGGAGGCGTGCATCGCACAGTATGGAAGTAATACTATGGCCCGCATGCATAACGCCCAGGGTAGGGAAGGCATCTTTCATAGTCCACGACCGGTCGCTAGCGACTGGTCGCTCGACTGATCGCGCGGGACCGTCCGCGGCGGCACCCATAACTAGCGCGGCCTCCTCGACCGA